TCGGTCGTTTCTTGTGAATTCCCCATCACCCTTCCTCAGTCTGATTACCTGGTCCTTGACTGTTGTTTTCCTCCTGATGTGGCTGTACAACAGCTTCGGTCAGTCTTTACTTTTGATGCTATGTCATTTTCATATTGTCTCTGAGCCTCCCTTCTTATCTGTGCATATTCGTTTCTGGCTCTTCGGCTGATTTCTTTATTTTCCTGAGTTCTCTGTCTTCTGTACCTTTTCCATTCTCTAGTACACCTAGTTTTTGCCTCCCTACACCTTTGGGTGAACCAAGGACTCGTTCTGTTCTTCCCATTATTTCTGTTTCCCTTGGGAACAAACCTCTCCTCTGCCTCCTTGCATTTTGTTGCTACATAGTCCATCATTTCTTGTACTGGTTTTCCTGTCAGTTCCCTCTCCCACTGAATGTCTTGAAGGAAGTTCCTCATGCCTGAGTAGTTCCCCCTTTTGTAGTTTGGTTTTTCCCAGCCTATTCCTGCTACTCTCTCCACTTGGAGCTCAACTATGTAGTCGAAGCACAGAACCACATGATCACTAGCTCCCAGGGGCCTTTCATACATGATACCCTCGATGTCCGAACTACTCATGGTGAATACAAGGTCCAACCTTGCTGGTTCATCCTCTCCCTCTCTCTGGTAGTGTCTCTAACATGTTGATGCATGAGGTTCTCCAGTACCACATCCATCATCTTGGCTCTCCATGTTTCGGGACCCCCATGGGGCTCCAGTTTTCCCAGTCAATCTCCTTGTGATTGAAATCACCCATAACTAGTAACTTTGCTCCCCCCATGTGTGCTCTCCTGGCCACCTCGGCTAGTGTGTTGATCATTGCTCTGTTGCTCTCATCGTATTCTCTCTTGGCCTCCTGCAGTTCTGTGGTGGGTGTACATTACTGCAATTATCACCTATGTCCCTCAGACTGGATTGTTCCTACTAAGTAGTCCCTTTCGCCCATGCCATCCATTCCTTCCATTTTCTCAAAACCCCACTGGTTTTTAATGAGCAGTGCAACTCCTGCTCCCCCTCTCCTCCCTCTGTCTTTCCTGAAGATTTGATATCCGGATGGAAAGATTGAATCTGTTATTATTCTGGTGAGTTTTGTTTCTGTGAGTGCTATTATGTCTGGGGATGTCTCTTTGATTCTTTCGTGCCACTCCTCATACTTGTTTGTTATTCCATCTGCATTTGTATACCACACCTTCAACTTCTTTTCTAAGACTGTGGTCTGGGAAGTATATTGGGGTTGGGGAAGTGGGAGACCTGGTAAGGAACTATGGGTTGTTGCTGTGGGGGTAAAGTTTGTAATGTAGTGGGTGGGGGCATTGGATGTGGCATGGGTGTTTTGATTTAGAGTGTTTGGTTGCACTGGGGTTGACCTGGTTGGGAGGCTTCTATAGAAAGTTTGTGAGGGAGGCTGTATTAGATCTTCTTCCTGGGTCTGGGATCTCCTGTCTGTCTTCTCCATCCCCTCTCTTTCCTCCTTTCGCCTTTGTACCATCTCTCTCAGTTTCTTCCTTTCTTCTTGTGTTCTGTCGCGGTCGAGATACACCCTCCTGTATGCCGTCATGTCCCTTAATCGTGCTTTCTCCTGCAGTATCCTGGTCCGAGTCGCTTCTGCCTTGAAGGTCACTCTCACTGGCCGGGTTCTTTTTTTTACAAACCCCCCTATTCTCCGAAAATTTTCCAGCTGGGTCATATCGTCTTCTCCTATTGCTTTCATGATGCTTTCAATTGCTTTTTTTTTCCCCTTGTTTTCTTGCTTCATATGTTTCCCCTTCGACTTCCTGGAGCCCATACACAAAGACTGACCTCACCCTTTCATTCTCCCACTGCATATCCCTGTGTATCCCCTCATTTAGTTTGGTTTCCTCCACTGCAGCTTTCCTTTCATCAGTTTCACTGGCTAATGTACTTGGGCTCAGTGGCCTGTCATTTTCCCTTCCCGGCTTTCCTTGGGCTCTGTTGTTGTCTGTTAGGACCTCCACATAAAGCTTAGCTCTTTCATTTGCTACAGTCTCCTCTGATAGAGCATCTTCATGCAGTTGTGCCCCTTCTTTCCCTACAGTCCCCTTATTTGTGGCTGAGGTAGCAGTCTCTGTTGTCAATCCCAAAATGTTCTTTAGTTCTTTAGGCTGTTTCAGATTTTTCAGTTCCTCTTCTAAACTCTGTATCCTAGCTTCTGCTGCTTTGACATGCACCTCCCACTTCCTGCTTTCCATATCTATCCTCTCTTCCATTCTCATGCTAAGTTCTTCTAGTTTCTTTTCCCATTCATGATCCCTTTTTATGAGCTCTGCTGCCCAATCTTCCTTTGCATTTTCCTCCTCCTGTCCCTTGGTTTTTCTTGTTGCTCTCTGGCAACCCATTTTTTTTTTTTTTTTTTGTGTGTGTGTGTGTGTGTGTGTGTGTGTGTGTGTGTGTGTGTGTGTGTGTGTGTGTGTGTGTGTGTGTGTGTGTGTGACTCAACAATCAATATTTGCACCAATAACACATTACAGTTGTGACCGGGTGTGGAAGTGAGAATTGCTCATTACTCTATAATTTGTTCATGATTGTAGCCATGTATAAACGTAAGTAACCATTCTACAGAATTCATTACCTTTGTAACTTGTGAGCTCATTACCTTTGTACCTAGTTCAGCTATCAAAACTTTGGGGGCCCAGTCCCTGGACCCATTACGTACCTCTGTAATCTGTAAATACCTTTGTAACATTGTATCAATCGCATCTGCTAGAAAAATGACAGGATGGATAATGAGAACCTTCAAAACTAGGGAGGCCAAGCCCATGATGACACTCTTCAGGTCACTTGTTCTATCTAGGCTGGAATATTGCTGCACTCTAACAGCACCTTTCAAGGCAGGTGAAATTGCCGACCTAGAAAATGTACAGAGAACTTTCACGGCGCGCATAACGGAGATAAAACACCTCAATTACTGGGAGCGCTTGAGGTTTCTAAACCTGTATTCCCTGGAACGCAGGAGGGAGAGATACATGATTATATACACCTGGAAAATCCTAGAGGGACTAGTACCGAACTTGCACACGAAAATCACTCACTACGAAAGCAAAAGACTTGGCAGACGATGCACCATCCCCCCAATGAAAAGCAGGGGTGTCACTAGCACGTTAAGAGACCATACAATAAGTGTCAGGGGCCCGAGACTGTTCAACTGCCTCCCAGCACACATAAGGGGGATTACCAACAGACCCCTGGCAGTCTTCAAGCTGGCACTGGACAAGCACCTAAAGTCAGTTCCTGATCAGCCGGGCTGTGGCTCGTACGTTGGTTTGCGTGCAGCCAGCAGCAACAGCCTGGTTGATCAGGCGCTGATCCACCAGGAGGCCTGGTCACAGACCGGGCCGCGGGGGCGTTGACCCCCGAAACTCTCTCCAGGTAAACTCCAGGTAACTTGTCATGATTGTGACCAGACCTACCTGGAGTTCATTACCTTTGTAAATTGTGAGTTCATTACCTCTGTAACTTGCTCAGCTATCAAAACTTTGGAGTCCAGTCCCTGGACCAATTATGTACCTCTGTAATCTTTTGACTACCGCCCACAGGATGGGTATGGGGTGCATAATAAACATATTAAACTAACTCCCGGCGTCACTCAGTAGCTGTTCTACACCCCTCTCACTCAAAATTTCTCGAAAGGGTTAAATCAGCATCATATTTTATTACAGAATTATTGTATTATTCAAATTTACACGCGATGAATTAAGTAAAATCCAAAATTTTCCACAGCAGCTTTAAATTGGTAAAGCCAGTAATTGGCGAAACGTCTTCAAAATAAAGATATCCAAGTGTTGCCCATGTGTCTTATGCGGTTAGTATTGAATCTTGTAGCACCTGACCAATCACGGTAGTGTAAACAAATATGCATCGAACGTAAACAGAGACGAGCCAGTCCCATATCTACCACTGGCGGAGTAATGCTAAATTATGTTGCTTTTGCTTGAATTATGCTAGGTTTCCATAGGTTAGATTACGTTTTATACCGTTTCCACTAAATAAATCCACCTGATATTAGACATTTTAAGGAATAATTTAATGAACTCAGAGTTGGCCCTGAAGTCAAGAATGGCCCAACAGTTATCCGAGATTGCAAATCCCTCAACTTATCATCGTAGGAAAAGGTTTCTGATACGAAGCCAGCAATGGTGGGAGAGCGCTAAACCCCTAGGGGTCGTATAACGCCTTGGATAATTGAAGAGTTTTGAAGGAAAGAAAGGGTAAATTCAATTCCTTAGATCAAGAGCCCTTCACTGTCGTCAAAGAACCTTTCTGGAAATAAATTACTATGACTTTTTTTTTGGAGGGGGGGGAGGTTATTCTAGGTAATTTACACACCAGTTATTATATAAGACAATTGTGATCATCTGAAATGTGTGTAAATTGTACCTAAATTAAACTATTTTTTTACACACGGTTTTATAAGGTTAGGTAAGGATACCTAATTTTATTTACAAGCTAAGAACTGTTACCTACATCAGCTCATTTAAAAGCCTTTTTATTGTTATGAGACATACAAGTAGGGAACAGGATGAAGTTGGAGCCATCTGTGGGCCACCAATTTCATCTGATCAACTGACTTGTTTCTTTGCTATCAATATGCTGTACGAACATGATCGTACTATCTTATCTTATTTCCTTTCTTTATTTCTTTATTTATTCGTTATTACTTATTTACTTACTTTTACTTGTTTACCTATTTTATTTATTTTACTTATTTTCAAACTTGCTTACTTACTTAACTACTCACTTACTTGTTTTATTTACTTACAACAACAACAATAACATAACGTGTTTTGATCATTTTTACAGGCATAGTAAATCATTTTCAACCAAATTAAAACCCTAAAATAAGTTGCATTTATAGAAATAAACAACTGGATCTTTGATTTCAGGTTATAAAAGCAATAAATATGTGAAAGATGTTGTTGAAAAGGTCATTATTGGGTTATTATTGAGGTTAATGACACAACCCGGGAATATGAAGGTGATACCTTGGCGTCAGTCAATGTAGAGGAGGTGTGTCAGGTGCCTCTCACACCAACAATGGATTCTGGAATTGACTCGACCGACAGTAGTAATGGTAGTGTGGAGGATGGTGGTGGTGATGGTGGTGGTAGTGGTGGTGATGGTGGTGGAGATGTGGTAATGGAGGGATCAGCCGCCTCACCCAGCAGAGTTCCTCACTTATCTCCCTCACCCCGGGCTCCTCATCCCTCACCTAGCTCTCCCATCCTCTCTCCCTCACCCAACTCCCCTCACCCGTCTCCTGCACCCAACTCGCCTCCGTCACCCAGCTCTCCTCTCTCATCACCCAGTTCTCCCCACTCGCCGTCACCCGTCTTTGCTCACCCACGTACCTCAGAGGTTGCTCTAGCACCCACTACACTCAGGAGTCTGGCAGCCGCCGCAGCTGCCACTAACACTTTGCCATCACCATTAAAGACACTGGCTGCAACTACCCTTAACGTCATCCCAACAGAAGGGATAGAGAACTGGAAGAACAATAATGATTCCGAGGTTTCAGCCAGAGGAAGAAATATTGCTAATATCCATAACAACACGTCTGCTTCTGTTTTTAAAATGGTAGGTCTAGAAAGGCAGTAGTTCTATGCCCAGACCACCTAATTCACATATTTTTGATTGCAGGGACAGCCTTGAGTCATGGCCCTGTCACCCTTGATGGGGGGGGGGAGGTGCTTTAATGTTGGTGAAAAGTTCTTGGTCCAATGAATTGGAGCTGCATCTCTCATGGACTATATCTGATTACTTGGTCTGAGACTGTGCTATAGGAAGAATGATCCTCTGAACCACAACATATCTAAGATGTAGTATGTGTTGATATAACAATCTATTCCTTATGTGCTGTATGACTCCTGTAAGTTGAACCCTTCATAAAAATATTAATAAAAATCCTTTAATTTACATGGCTTATTTCACTTCCTCTCTTTACCTTCCCTTCTCGCCGATGGACCCACCTTTCATCCGGACTCTCTCATTGACTTTTTGACAACAACTGACTTACTCCACAAACTCTGATGATACCTTCAGCCCTTTCTACTTCAGTCTCTTGCTACCCTCTACCCCCCGCACTATCCCCTGCCCCGCTGTTTTCTGTAACCTACTAATCATCCCTCCCCCCTTCTGCCGCCCGATACCCTCGCTTCCTTCCCTACCCTGCAGCGCTGTATAGCCCTTGTGGCTTAGTGCTTCTTTTTTATTATAATAATTATTTCACTTCCTAACCTTTTGGACCCTGCTATGCTTCATATAGGTTATTTTCTTATTTGACCACCCAAAGGCTGAGGAAATATTTCCTGACACTGCTGTGGTTCATCTGTATCCGTCCTGGCAATGAAGTGCTCTTGGTCCAAGGAAATGTGGCTAACCTCTCCTTGAGCAATGCTATATGACCCTTGTGGGTTTTCTGCTCAGTTATGATTATATTAATAATAACCTTTCCTTGAATCAGATATAAGTGCCTCCCACTCCCCAGGGACTATATATCCTTTATGGGTTTAGCACTTCCACTTTCAATATAATAATTATGTGTCCAACTATATTTACTTCTCCCGTATATGCATTTATTGAATTTGAATAGTGTGTTTGCTTTGGTGGGGTAATGTATGGTAATAATATTTGTATATTCTGTATATAGAGATAAGATTTTGTTTGTATTTTTTAACCTGGAGGGTTAGCCACCCAGGATAACCCAATAAAGTCAGTGTATCATTTGGGCCTTTAATCTTGTCCCCTAGGATGCGACCCACAGCAACTGACTAACACCTAGGCACCTACTTACTGCCAGGTGAACAGGTTAAATTTAGATATTTGTTTACAATTTGTTAGTTTAACTTGAGGTGGTAAATTTTTGCAAAGGTTCATAAAGCACAAAATTATTATTGGCATATCGTAGTGATAAGTTGTGAAGAAATCCTCCTTGACTTCTTTTCACATCTGTTTATAAATTTAGTGCAGTTATCTTTTGATCCATCGTTCAATAAAGATATTTCTAGTGTCTTTAATCTTTATAACTTATATTTCTCATTTCAGGAATTCATTTTATCATACGTATGTGAACTTTTTCTGTTTTAACTATTACGTCATATTCAAACCAAGTTGTGTTTGGACAGTATCATATCTACTTTTGAATCTGTGTATTGAGATTGCTCTTACTATGTCTTCATTTAACTAATTCCACCTTTCAGCCACATGACTCATTTGTGTCTTCAGCTTCCATCTGTGTTTCCTTGTTCCTGGTCCTCATAACTCAAACAGTTCTAACTCTCTGCTCTATCATTTTTTTTTAAATGCTTTATATTGTAATTGTATCTCTCCTAGCATTTATCCCCACCTAGGTTTTCAGGTTCACTTCCTTTACCCATTTCTCAAACTGCAATTTTTTTGTTCTGAAACTAGTGTACGTAGTTGCAAACTTTAGACCTTTTCAAGCTTCTGCACTTGTTTGACCAGGTGGGTCTCTTACACAAGCCATGTACTCTATAATTGACTTGACATATGTCTTGTATAAAGTTCTAAAGTTTTTTCATTCAAGTTTCTGAATATGTACTATTCTTCTGTTAGAGGGGGTTAATTTTCTTGTAGAAAGCTGTACAGATGCTGCATACTGTTGAATGGGAACATACCCAGTGTTTTTTGTATTGCAGCATGGTGTCTTCATTATACTACAGTACAGTTTGAGAAATTGTAAATGCCATGGTGTCCCGTGGCCTGGTAGGAAACGCTCTCGCTTCACACACTGAGTGTCCGTGGTTCAATCCTCGGCAAGGGTGGAAACATTGGGCATGTTTCCTTACACCTGTTATACCATTCACCAAGCAAGCAAGTAGGTACCTGGGTGTTAGTCATCTGGTATGGGTCATATCCTAAGGGATAAAACTGAGGACCCCAATGGAAATAAGACAGATAGTCCCTCAATGATGCAGTCCCTTCCTTGGGTTATCCTGTGTGGCTAAACCTCTGGGGTTAAAATTCGGAACAAAATCTTATCTTAAACAATGTACAAAGAATGTTATACTGTAGACTAGTGAATGTGTCAGATATTAGGATAAGTAAAAGTTATATTTTGGAACCTTTAGAATTCTTTTCATTACTTAGTGAAAATAATTAAAATATTTTTCATGGAGAGAATACCTTTGTGTGTAAATATATCTAATTGATTGCTCTAGGCAACATGTCCAATGAGTATGCAGTACATTAGTAAATACTGTACACAAAAATTTTCTGTTGAGAGACAGAAACATCACTGATACTTTAACTATGAATGAAAACCTTTCATGTTTTGATGCAGCCTAAGATGGATGTTCCTGAAGGCAGTCGACTGCAGCTACACTTTCCTCTTTCTGAGGGGGAAAGCTTAGAGGAAGGTGGCACAACATTTGAGCTGGAACCTCCGCCAGGACTCACTTTTGCTAATGTCTCGCCCTCTATGTTTCTGAGCCGTGGCTATGAAGCTTACTGTACGTATTTATATCAGTGTGAATCATGTAACGTGTTGTACGTATAATATAAATAATTTAATTATCCTTATGGGTGACGATAAAATTAAATAGATAAATTTCACTTTCCTGTTGTAATTAATCCAGAATCTCCATAACTAACCAATTATTTTAGATCATTTATATGAACTTCTTTCTTGTCATTTCTTGTAAACACTAAATTTACAGTTGATAATGCATTTCCAGTACTTCCTCAAGTTGCTTTTTGATGTGTGTGGGGGAGAGGGTTGTTGGGGGTGGGGGGATAGAGAACTCTAACACACCACTGAATTATTTATAATTCTCTTATTTCTCTGCAACATCAGCTCAAGGCTATTCAGTAGTCCCCTATGAAAACAACGCTCTTCAAAAGAAATTACGAACTCTTCGACTAAAAATGAGACAACAGCAATATCAAGTCCTCTCCCCAAAAGCTAGTAAGTTGTTTGAGACTTAATCTGTGTACTGTATAATATATGGAATAGGCCTTTCTTATACAGTTATTGGTGTAATATGGGCTTAAATTCTTTCAGGGTCCAGAGGCCAAATTTCAAAGTGTGTACCAGGGTCCAAGAATTTTAAAAAAATAATTTTGTTAGTTTTTCTTATGAAATGGTAGAGAATCTTTTTCTGAAGGTAATAAAACAAAAATTAAGAAATTTGATGGAAAATTGATGAAATTATGCTCTTGCGAATTTTGACGTGTCAGCAATATTTACGCATTGGATATTTTGCCGACTTTGACTCCCATTTTAGGCCAATTACATTATCCCAGTCGACCAAATTCTTGGCTATTTCACTAGTATTACTTCTATTCTATTGATTGAGCACAAGAAATTGCCAAGTCAACTGTTTCAACTACAAAATAAAGTGATAGGAAATTGGTAATTTGGCCAATTTAACACAAAGTTCAGAATATTCCAGTTTCAAAATATGGTCCAGAATAAACAGTGCAGGCATTCCTGGCACTAAACTTACATTTTTTCTGTTCATTAGTTATGTTTTTGGGCTTTGCAAATTAATTCCATTTTGATTTTTTATTCACATAATGAATTTTTATTCAAACCAAAAAATAGAAGATTTACTGTTATGCAATATTGTAATAATTGTATAAATAATATCACCACATTTGTGAATGTATATTAGACCCACCCACCAGCTGGCGTGTATTAGACGTGAGGTCATTTGTTTACTCTTGAACATCAGCAAAAATTTAACATTTCCATTACTTGGAGCTCAGTTTCAAGCCATTCCAGTAATGAAACCAATTAAAATCATCTCTATTTCTGTAATATATCTTCCATTCTATCAAATGAGACCATGAAATTGCAAATACAACTATAAAAAACATACAAAAAGAAACCACTGCAAAGTCATTGTTTTAATCGAAAATTACGTTCTCAGTTTTTTTTCTCATTATGCACTGTGTGCTGCACGATTTGTTTTATGTGGTGCACACATACCACATAGATGTATTCTCTCATATCTAGGCCCAAATTTACCACTCACAGCTTATCAGAGTGAGCTGAGCTCATGGTATAGATGTACGGTTTGGACCCTCAACTCAAAGCCATAGAACGACGGCATGGGCCCTGAAAGGGTTAAACCCCATCATACATCATAGCTATCATGTCACCAGCAGTCACACACTATGCATAACTGTGTCTTCCATTATCCAGCAGAGTTGGTATGAAAAATTTTTTGACCATCTCTGCAATTACTCTGTCATGTAAACATTGCATAGCCTCCTTAACCCTTTCAGGGTCCCCAAGCCCTCTCCCAGACTTGTTCTCAAGGTCACCCAAATTTAAAAAAAAAAATATTTTTCTTATGAAAAGATAGAGAATCTTTTCCCGATCATAATGACACCAAAAGTATGAAATTTAATGGAAAACTTATGGAATTATGCTCTCGCGAAGTTAGCGGTCTCGACGATGTTTACGCATTGGCGATTTTACCCTTTTGAGCCCTATTTTCGGCCAATTCCAGTGTACTAGTCGACAAAAATCATAACTATTTCACTAGAACTCCATTTTTTCTATCGAATGAGTACAAGAAACCACCTATTTACCAATTTCAACTATCCAGTACAGTGGTCAGAATTCAGCAATTTTTGCCAATTTCACACAAATTTCAAAAGATGCCAATTTCCATATAGGGTCCAGAATAAACAAGAAAGACATTCCTATTACTAAAATAACATTTCCTCTGTTCATTAGTCACGTCCCCACGCCCCTCTTACATTCTTTTGCTTTCCACTTTGAATTTTTATTCTCACAAAAAATAGAAGATTTACTGTTATGCAGACTACTGCATTAGTGTAGAAATGGTATAAATAATATCGGCGCACTTGTGAAAGAATATTAGATTCGCCAGTTGACGTGTATTGGACGCTCAGCATGATTTGTTTACTTTTGAACTTTGGTAAAAATTGAACATTTCTGCTACTTTGAGCTCAATTTCAAGGTACTTTTCATTGTAAAACCAGTCAAAATCATCTCAATTTCTGTAATATGTCTTGCATTCTATAAAATGAGACCAGGAAAACTAGAATACAACAATAAATACCATACGAAAATACAGTGCAAATTCGCTGTTTTAATCCAAAAACATGGTCAAAGTTTTTTTTTCTCATTACGCACTGTGTGCTACAGGATTTTTTTTTTATACTGCGCACACTGATCACATAGACCCATTCTTTCATATGTAGGCCTACCAGCTTTCACAAGATTTGAGGGAGCTAGAATTTAGGCATACTAGTACGTCAAAAACCCTGGTGCGTAAGCCGTACTAGTACGTCTGAAACCCTGAAAAGGTTAAATGCTGTTGGTTATGGTATACACTGCTGACTTGAAAATTTTGGCAGAGTTCTTGGAAAATACTGGAGGGACTAATTTGAAATATGCACACTGAAATAATCATTTACAGGATAGGGAGAGATGATAGACAGTGCAGAATACCCATAATGAAAAAAGGGGTGCAGTAACTACACTGTCTCAAGCATAAGTTTATCCATATATCTTCTGCATTTTTAGTGGCCAGTTTTAGTATTATAATTCTTATTTTTTCTCTATGGGGAAGTAGAACAGAATTCTTCCTCCGTAAGCCATGCGTGTCGTAAGAGGCGACTGAAATGCCGGGAGCAAGGGGCTAGTAACCCCTTCTCCTGTATATATTACTAAATTTGAAAGGAGAAACTTTCGTTTTTCCTTTTGGGCCACCCCGCGTCGGTGGGATACGGCTGGTACGGTGAAAGAAAGAAGAATTCTTATTTTTATATCTACAGCAGGGCTCTGATGACCTTTAAGGAACACAGTCAGCATACCCCCATTAAAATTCTCTAGGCCCAGTAAGGACTATCTTGCATTTTTTCCATGGCTTTGTCTTCCATTTCTGTTTCACTTGTCTTTCATTTTCTACTTGCAGAGCCTTCTACCAGCAGCCCAGTTGCAGAACCAGTTTGCAACAGGTGCATTTACATCAATATTCGTCCTCCCTATGTGATGGATACCACTATATCTCTATCTTGTTTCTGTTCCCATATCTTCTCTGCATGCCCAAACCACCTTGTTAACCCCTCTTTGGCCCTCAAGTTGCTCTTTGCTATGTTAAGTGTTAATTTCTTTTTATATACCCTTCCAAATTTCTCCAACCTTTGCAACTTTTCTGGTAATCTCCTAAAACAATTTTGTCATTAGCAGAGAGAAACTGTGACACCCAAACTTTGTATCTGATTTGTTATCTCGTAATTCCACACTCCCTGATAGTCTAGCATTCACCTCTTTTGAAACCCTATCTGTAAGTATGTTAAACACCCATGTTAACATTATACATCCCTGTGTGAGGCCTACTTTTACTGGAAAATAATCCTCCTATCCTTCATTCCCTAAGACTTGGTCTGCACATCCCTGACTCTTCCTAAATCTCCTTGTTCTTCTGCAGTCCTCCTCTCTGTCTTACCTCTAATTCTTTTAATAATAATTCTACCATACACTTTACCCAGTATACTTAATGGGCATAGTCCCCCATAATTCTTCCACACTTTTGTCCCATTTTTCTGTTATACAAATGCACTTCTTTTACTTTTATTATTAATATTATAGGAAACACTCAATCCATAAGGGTATTACAACACAATAGATGTGGGAAGTGAGAAAAGGACAAGTGAAACTGGGTGGTTACAAATACAAGATTGTTCTTACTGGGTCTAGGAAAGGTAGAAGTGTTAATGTATGCTGGCTGTGTTCCTGGTGGGTCATTAGGCTCCATCACAGAAATGCATTTTTAAAACTTCAAAAGCATAACCTATAAAGTTTCCACTATAGTAGTTTTCATATATGGTGCAGTATAGTAGAATTTTAGAGCAGTCTTTAGGAATTTGGAATTATATTTGTAAAGCTTATCAACTTCTTGAAACATTATTTTCAGAAGAAAGAAAACTTCGCATAGCTGTTAGCTTAAATAATGTTCAAACCGTTGAACGACTTTTAAGAGAAGGCGTTGACCCTAAAGTTACTGATGATAAAGAGAGATCTCCTCTGCACATTGCTGCTTCTAAAGGCTACACAGATATTGCAAGGTAAGACTTGGACTAAACCCTAGACCCTAGCCATTCACAGGTTTTTTTTCCTTTGCTGTTGTTAAACATTTGCAACAAATTCTATTGTCAGTAATAAAAAATATAAGACTAATTATTATTTAACAAATAATATAAAACAATTATTTATTATTGAAATTCATTTTTAACTTCCAAAATAAAAGGAGTGCAATATGAAGAGGTTCCTTACGAGTGGAAACATTTGTCAATTCTGTGTATAGAGATGAAGTAACTGTTGACACTCAATACCTTGCTGTTAATCCCCTGAGTCTGATATAGTAAGGGGTCACAAAAACAACATGTTTTACAATTATTTAATGTAAAAATAATTTTTATTTGAATGCTTACATCTCTAGGTTGGTGTTTGTTATAAAATGAATTGGTTATGGTGTCTGTTTATAAATACAGATGTTTGTGACTCAGATGTTCATCAGTAGGGACAGCTTTGTGCATTCACTGTACAGTATATGTAAATTTACCTTAGCAGTTAAACTAGGGATGTTCAGTACATAATGTGGTACAGTATAAGAAAATTTCAGAATGCAATTTTGTTCTATAAGATTACAAAGTAGAAGTAATGCAAGGAGGGAAGAGTATATGGAGAAAAAGAGAGAGGTTAAGAGAGTGGTGAAGCAATGTAAAAAGAGAGCAAATGAGAGAGTGGGTGAGATGTTATCAACAAATTTTGTTGAAAATAAGAAAAAGTTTTGGAGTGAGATTAACAAGTTAAGGAAGCCTAGAGAATAAATGGATTTGTCAGTTAAAAATAGAAGAGGAGAGTTATTAAATGGAGAGTTAGAGGTATTGGGAAGATGGAGGGAATATTTTGAGGAATTGTTAAATGTTGATGAAGATAGGGAAGCTGTGATTTCGTGTATAGGGCAAGGAGGAATAACATCTTGTAGGAGTGAGGAAGAGCCAGTTGTGAGTGTGGGGGAAGTTCGTGAGGCAGTAGGTAAAATGAAAGGGGGTAAGGCAGCCGGGATTGATGGGATAAAGATAGAAATGTTAAAAGCAGGTGGGGATATAGTTTTGGAGTGGTTGGTGCAATTATTTAATAAATGTATGGAAGAGGGTAAGGTACCTAGGGATTGGCAGAGAGCATGCATAGTTCCTTTGTATAAAGGCAAAGGGGACAAAAGAGAGTGCAAAAATTATAGGGGGATAAGTCTGTTGAGTATACCTGGTAAAGTGTATGGTAGAGTTATTATTGAAAGAATTAAGAGTAAGACGGAGAATAGGATAGCAGATGAACAAGGAGGCTTTAGGAAAGGTAGGGGGTGTGTGGACCAGGTGTTTACAGTGAAACATATAAGTGAACAGTATTTAGATAAGGCTAAAGAGGTCTTTGTGGCATTTATGGATTTGGAAAAGGCATATGACAGGGTGGATAGGGGGGCATTGTGGCAGATATTGCAGGTGTATGGTGTAGGAGGTTGGTTACTGAAAGCAGTGAAGAGTTTTTACGAGGATAGTGAGGCTCAAGTTAGAGTATGTAGGAAAGAGGGAGATTATTTCCCAGTAAAAGTAGGCCTTAGAGAAGGATGTGTGATGTCACCGTGGTTGTTTAATATATTTATAGATGGGGTTGTAAGAGAAGTAAATGCAAGGGTCTTGGCAAAAGGCGTGGAGTTAAAAGATAAAGAATCACACATAAAGTGGGAGTTGTCACAGTTGCTCTTTGCTGATGACACTGCTCTTGGGAGATTCTGAAGAGAAGTTGCAGAGATTGGTGGATGAATTTGGTAGGGTATGCAAAAGAAGAAAATTAAAAGTGAATACAGGAAAGAGTAAGGTTATGAGGATAACAAAAATATTAGGTGATGAAAGATTGGATATCAGATTGGAGGGAGAGAGTATGGAGGAGGTGAATGTATTCAGATATTTGGTAGTGGACGTGTCAGCGGATGGGTCTATGAAAGATGAGGTGAATCATAGAATTGATGAGGGGAAAAGGGTGAGTGGTGCACTTAGGAGTCTGTGGAGACAAAGAACTTTGTCCTTGGAGGCAAAGAGAGGAATGTATGAGAATATAGTTTTACCAACGCTCTTATATGGGTGTGAAGCATGGGTGATGAATGTTGCAGCGAGGAGAAGGCTGGAGGCAGTGGAGATGTCATGTCTGAGGGCAATGTGTGGTGTGAATATAATGCAAAGAATTCGTAGTTTGGAAGTTAGGAGGAGGTGCGGGATTACCAAAACTGTTGTCCAGAGGGCTGAGGAAGGGTTGTTGAGGTGGTTCGGACATGTAAAGAGATTGGAGCGAAACAGAGTGACTTCAAGAGTGTATCAGTCTATAGTGGAAGGAAGGCTGGGTAGGGTCGCCTAGGAAAGGTTGGAGGGAGGGGTAAAGGAGGTTTTGTGTGCGAGGGGCTTGGACTTCCAGCAGGCATGCGTGAGCGTGTTTGATAGGAGTGAATGGAGACAAATGGTTTTTCAATACTTGACGTGCTGTTGGAGTGTGAGCAAAGTAACATTTATGAAGGGGTTCAGGGAAACCGGTAGGCCGGACTTGAGTCCTGGAGATGGGAAGTACAGTGCCTGCACTCTGAAGGAGGGGTGTTAATGTTGCAGTTTAAAAACTGTAGTGTAAAGCACCCTTCTGGCAAGACAGTGATGGAGTGAATGATGGTGAAAGTTTTTCTTTTTCGGGCCACCCTGCCTTGGTGGGAATCGGCCAGTGTGATAATAAAAAAATAAAAAAAGATTAAGTTTTTACATTCATCTCTGAGGTTACTGCTAAGAGTTTTTACATATGCAACAAATACCCAGTTAGCTTATGAGAGGTTTTTACAAAGCAGAAGTGTTATAAGAAGAGTAGAGTATATGGAGAGTAAAAGAAAGGTGAAGAGAGTGCAAAAGGAGAGCAGATGATAAGAGTGGGAGAGGCACTGTCAAGAAATTTTAATGAAAATAAGAAAAAAATTTGGAGTGAGATGTCCCCAGGCCCCTCTTACATTTCTTTTGCTTTCCACTTTGAATTTTTATTCTCACAAAAAAAAAAATTTACTGTTATACAGATTACTGCATTAGTGTAGAAATGGTATAAATAATATCGGTGCACTTGTGAAAGAATATTAGACTCACCAGTTGACGTGTATTGGACGCTTAGCATGATTTGTTTACTTTTGAACTTTGGTAAAAATCGAACATTTCTGCTACTTTGAGCTCAATTTCAAGGTACTTTTCATTGTAAAACCAGTCAAAATCATCTCAATTTCTGTAATATATCTTCCATTCTATACAATGAGACCAGGAAAACTAGAATACAACAATAAATACCATATGAAAATATAGTGCAAAGTCACTGTTTTAATCCAAAAACATGGTCAAAGTTTTTTTTTTCTCATTACGCACAGTGTGATGCAGAATTTTTTTATACTGCGCACACTGACCACATAGATCCATTCTTTCATATGTAGGCCTACCAGCTTTCTCTCACTAGATTTGAAGGCGCTAGAATTTATGCGTACTAGTATGTCATGGACACTGGCGCGTAAGCCTTACTAGTACGGCCGAAACCCTGAAAGGGTTAAATGTCGACGAAGAAAGGGAGGCGGTAATTTCATGCACTGGCCAGGGAGGTATACCATCTTTTAGGAGTGAAGACGAACAGGATGTGAGTATGGGGGAGGTGCGTGAGGCATTACGTAGAATGAAAGGGGGGTAAAGCAGCTGGAACTGATGGGATCATGACAGAAATGTTAAAATCAGGGGGGGATATAGTGTTGGAGTGGTTGGTATTTTTGTTTAATAAATGTATGAAAGAGGGGAAGGTACCTAGGGATTGGCAGAGAGCATGTATAGTCCCTTTATATAAAGGTAAAGGGGACAAAAGAGATTGTAAAAATTAGAGAGGAATAAGTCTACCAGGAAAAGTGTATGTTAGGGTTATAATTGAAAGAATTAGAGGTAAGACAGAATGTAGGATTGCGGATGAGCAAGGAGGTTTTAGAGCGGGTAAGGGTGTGTAGATCAAGTGTTTACATTAAAGCATATATGTGAACAGTATTTAGATAAAGGTAGGGAAGTTTTTATTGCTTTTATGGATGTAGAAAAGGCATATGATAGAGTAGATAGGGGAGCAATTTGGCAGATGTTGCAAGTATATAGAATAGGTGGTAAGTTACTAAATGCTGTAAAGAGTGTTTATGAGGATAGTGAGGCTCAGAGGTTAGGGTGTGTAGGAGAGAGGGAGAATACTTCCCAGTAAAAGTAGGTCTTAGACAGGGATGTGTAATGTCACCTTGGTTGTTTAACCCTTAAACGGTCCAAACAAATCGACGTTCAAATTCGTAGTGCTACAAAAGTAGATCTACTTTTTTTAACATATTTTCATATGTAACAAAAAATAAAATGTAGATAAAAGTTTTTTTTACACGTTTTCAAATGTAAAACAAAAAAGAAGATCTACATTTTTTTACATACTTTCAGATGTTGAAAAAACGTATATATACATTTGGACCATTTAAGGGTTAACCCTTTGTCGAAAGGCCCAATCCTGAAGTCTCTCCTGGTGTCGCAAAATATTCGAAAAAACAAAATTTTTTTTTCTTATGAAAATGTTAAGATTGTTTTTCTGATTGTTTTAGTCCAAAAAAAAATTTTCCCATTAGTACTTACCGTGATATAGAGCCGTGAAGTTTGCTGAAAATGATCTGTGAACGGCAACAGCGGCAACTGTCGCTCACCCAGTAAACTTTGATTTACTTGTATTCGATGGTTTCTTGTTTTTTCATTTTTTTTTTATTTATTTTCACATATTTGTGGACTGTGAGACCAAATTATTGTGCAATGTTTAAATATACACTCGTTGAATGTAACACAATTATAGCAAAAACATTCGTATCATTATAATGTTGCTAAAACTTGTTTACACAAACAAACAATATAAAAAATCGTTTATTACAATTGTTCTATAATATATATACCTATGTACAATCACTGGACACTTTTCTAGAACTGCTGCAGCTTGTGGAATT